TTTCCCTCGCTGATAGTCGTCGCTGATACCTGATTTTCTAGTAGTGAACACGATGTCTTTACAATTATAGACAAATATTATCTTTCAAGACGAATACAATTTAACACTGAAAGTCAGACCCAACATATTCACTAAGTTTTTAGCTTATATTATACATGTATATATATCAGGTGTCATTTGTCAGTAGACGAGTTGAATGAAGAAAGACGGGACTATGTTTTGAATCATGCTTGATTAGATATTTGTATTAGCATTGATTACATTAAAGTATTTTACGCTTCCGCAATCATGTAACGAATTATGTTAAACACATTATGTATGTTTGAATTTTTAAGTTCATATATTGTTGATGACATAAGTTATTAAGAATGACGTCACGGCACTCGAACGAAAGAAAAAAAATCGCGTCGTGACATCGTCCTTTGTTACTGAGCCACTAAGAATCTTAGTCATTAACATCCATGTATCATCTTGCTCGAGAAATGTACTCAAATCACACTCTATCACAACCATCCAGGACTAATATATCAACTTTTGCCATTTTGAGTATTATAAATATTGGAAAGGAAGGGAATAAAAACAAGATACAATGTTTTTTACTACAAGGAATATGAGTAAACCAAATATAACTGCCAGGGATGGACCGAAGGGGATTTTATGTGTCATCTTTTTGTTCCTTCGTCGTAGTGTAAAAAATTATATGGTCATGAAAACTGCCACCATATTAATTTGATGTGTCATCGTATATATTTTGAAACTACAGGATGCGAGTTTCCCTTTATAGAGTTGGTTTACAAGGCTTTTCTTCCACCCGAGACCTGAGTTCAAATCTCGTTAACGTCATTTTCTTAGTTTTTAGCTTTTAATTTCATATTCATTATGTTTCTGATAAAAATTGCAATAAAAGACTTGAAAACAGGACCTCACATATGAAAAACAATGAACTAACCAACAGACTAATGATGATTTTGTGAAAATTATCCCTATATTTGTTTCTTATAATCAAATGGTGCTACCGTTCAAAAAAAATTCTTGGCCCATCCCTGATAACTGCCTAAATCGTCGTGCTTCTGGTTCTGGATCTCAATCGCCGCCACTTCCTTTCCATGATGAATATGTCTCTTCATTCAAGCATGGGTATTCTAGCCAGGTTTCATCCACTCCTCGTGCTAGCACAACTCAATCAAGTATATATTTTGCAGGTTTATCAGAATGCTCAACATCTTGGAATATTGATTCAAGAGTCACAAATCATATCCAATCTCAACACTAATAAACCCAGACTCTGATTCAACTTGCTAATGGATCTTCATGTCAAATTATGGGCATAGCATCCACTTGCAATTTGTCAAAACTAAACCTATAATTTGTTCTTTATGTTCTCAGGTTTACAGATAGTCCAATATACGTTAGCCAAATTACAAAAGTTCATAATCGTTCAGTAAAATTATTCCAACGCATTGTGTCTTTAAGGAACTAGGAATGAACTAATTGATTGGCACAGGTTTTGAATCTCAAGGTCTCTATCATTTGTCTGGGTTGTGATCTTCAGTAGCATATCTTTGTGATTCCAATATCAATGAGGCTCACTGTTGGCTAGGCCACCCTTCTTTGCATATTCTGGAACAGTTAAGACCGAATTTGTCATATGTTAATGAGTTAGTTTGTAAGTCATGTCAATTGGGTAAACACACTCGTTATTACTATCCCCCTAGAGAGTCTAGTCATGTTACCACTTTATTTAAGTTAATTCACTCAAATGTATGGAGGCCTTATCTCATCGCTTCTAGTAGTGGATTTAAATATTTTGTTATGTTTGTTGATGACTTCTTTTTTGTACAACACGGGTTTAGTTGCTAAAGTCGCGTAATGAAATATTTTCTATCTTTTGTGGGTTCTATGTACATGTCAAAACCTAATATTATGTCTCCATTAAAACTTTGAGGTCCGATAATGCAAAAGAATACTCTTTATGATTTTACAACTTACTTATCTGAGCATGGTATTATACATGAATCATTGTATGCCTATACACCCAAATATAATGGTATTACCAAATAAAAAGACCTCCATTTGTTGGATGTGGAACGCACTATGATGATCCATTATAATGTTCCACAAAGTTTCTGGGGCGATATAGTTCTTACAGCTAATTACCTGATTAATCTTATACCTTATTTTGTCCTTAAAAAGAAGACACCATTCTCCATACTCTTTCTAGAAAGCAATTCTTTTCCCATAGCTCTTAAAATCTTCAGTTGTGTTATTATGTTCATAGTCATGGTCATGGTCTAGGGAAGAATAAAATTTCCGTACGTGCTATCAAGTGTGTGTTCCTTGGGTATTCTCGTGTCCAAAAAGATTATCATTGTTATAGGCCTTCCCTATTTAGGTATTTTACTTTGTGTTGATGTTACGTTCAGTGAGTTGGGTCCTTTTTAGGGTAAACCTTACCAGCACCTCCGAATCAACAAATCTTGTTACTGATCCATTTGATTCTTTTAATCCTCTATCTTGTGTATTCCAGTTTTTGACACCAAATGTTGCTATTTCGCAAGTACCTATTGATACTCGTTTCAAAAATGTGTATGTTCTACATCAACACCACAAGTGCCTGAGACCTTAGACGCTTAGAGTGCCTAATTGTACATGATGATTTTGATATGTCTCCTATTCCACCACCTGATACACACATATCATCGTCTATTCACATTGTCCCCGACCAGTACCTTATACACCCCTACCATCACATATTGATCATTTGCCCATGTCCTTGATATTCCAATTGCCTTACAAAAAAGGTACACAAACTCGCACCTAATATCCTAATCATAATTATATTGGGTATTCGCATCTGTTTAAGTTGTGTGCTTACACCAGTGCTATTGATAGACATATTGTTCCCAGAAATGTGACTGAGGCTCTTAATCGTCCATGATGGTTTAAAGCAATGTAGAAGGAGATGGATGCCCTAAAGAAGAATCATACTTGGATTTGGAACAACTTCCTCATGAAAAGCAAAAAGTGGGTTGTAAGTAGGTTTTCATGGTGAAAATTAATCTCAATGGTTCATTGCATCACTTGAAAGTTCGATTAGTTGCAAAGGGTTATTCTTAAGCACAAGAGCTTGACTATGATGAGACATTTTATAGTTCTCAGATTACTTGGTGTTTTTTAGACAACATGACGATCGACGTATCATACTAGTGATCTACTTTGATGACATCATTATCACCAGACATGATAGCACCAGAATTTCTCAGCTAGAAGAATTTCTATAGAATCGGTTTCAACTTATTGATCTTGGCCAACTTTGTTACTTTATTGGGATAGAAGTATCTTGATCTCTACAAGGGATTCTTCTATCTCAACGGAAACATGTTCTTGCTATGCTTATTGAGTGTGGTCTATTTGGATGTAAACCAGTGGACAGTCTGATGCTTGCTACAGAAAGCTTCTTCCAGATGATGGAAATCCTATGAAGAATCCAGAGAGATACATGAGATTAGTTGGAAAGTTAAACTATTTAATAGCCAATGGACCAAATATATCATTCGGGGTTAGTGTCTTGAGCCAGTTCATGTCCGCTCTTTATACGGGTCATCAGGATACAGCACTTCGCGTCTTGAGGTATCTCAAGGCCACACTAGGCATAAGATTATTCAAATTAGGGTCATTGTCGAGTGGGTACTTCCATTGAAGAAGAAGATAGTAGAATATCTGCTTTCTCGAATATAGATAGGATCGACTGTACCGTTTCTAGGAGATCGATTAAAGGATATTGCGTATTTGTTGGAGGATATCTAGTTTTTTGGGAAAGCAAGACAACATATTATATCTCAATCAAGTGCTAAATCAGAATACAGATCTATGGCAGATGTGTCATGCAAAATGACATGGGTAAGGAGACTGGTGTAATTACAAACAACTTGATGAGACTATATTATGATAACAAGTCAACCATTTGCATAGCCAAAAATCAAGAGAGGACCAAACACATTGAAGTTGATTATCGTCTCATTAGAGACTCTGTTGTGGGAACATAGGCAGACCCTCAATTGATCCAACCAGTGCACATCATGACCAAGCCCCAACTTGTAGACATTCTCACGAAACCATTGCAAAAAACACAAATAAATTTTATTTGTTACAAGTTGGGCATGATTAACATATTTGCTCCAACTTGAGGATTGTTAGATATAGTAAAATAGGATTCTCCTTTCTTGTTAGTAGTTTGTTATTTCCATACTTAGGTATTTTAATCTTGTATATATTTTGTAATGTCCTTAAGAAATAGATAAATAGAAAATATCACATGATTTGGGTGATTAAAGTCATCATATAGGTTGCATTTGGTATATGGGATTAAACTGGACATAACAAAACTTATTGTATCATATTTGGCATGACATGAGAAATGGACAGGAACAGAGACTGGGTGGGACTGGATGACACAAATTCTTTTTTGTTCCACCAAATAGATGGGACAAAAATTGAACATAACTAAAAACATTACCAATCCACCCACATTTGATCTAATGCTCACATGGTATTTGTTTTAACGCCGCTCATTACCACCTACCACCACCACCCCACTGGCGGTATCCATGGACGGCCACCTCCACCGCCATCAGCTATCACTACCACCTCCTCCTCCTCCACAACTACCACCAGACAAGACAACTTGTCATGTCCAACCTAGTTCCTTCTGGTCCTAGTCTGCGTAGCAAACATCACCATAATATCTATCATTTAAGCAAAAAGGTACAAAAATGTCAATGATGAGTATTTTAATCATTTGTCATTATTTTAGTATAACTCCAACTGAACCTATTGACAAATACCATTCATTCCAAAAACATCATATGAACGTAGCATCCAAAGATGATTTAAGGTAAAGAATGATGTTTTGCCGCATGAACATTAATTACAATTTGATAACATATGTTTTACTTTCAACCAAAAGCTAGAGTTGAAAGGATGCCTCGATGAAAGTAATATTAGATACGTACAGTATTTACAGAAACAAACAGCTACAGATCGTGACAAACAACCTGACTTCATTTATTGACTTCTGTAACTACATCAACTCCGATCCCTTCCTCATATGTCTCGTGCTGTTTAAAGTTGCGAGTGTTTTTGCTCACTAGAAACATCAGGAGCTGCAAGGGAACGCTTTGCAAGACTTGCACTTTTCGACACTGCCAACCACACCATCCAGATCAACCCAATCCAACCTGCATCATCATCCATACTCATACCATAAACACATAATTTTACTTCATTTCTGTCGAAATTAATTGAACCCAAAAGGATACAATACCTGCAGCGACTAAAGCAGCTACAATTGATGAGATTGTTACTGTGAATGTAACGAAAGCAGCAATGCACAAAAGGGTAATGTAGATTGCTGTCAAGCAAGAAAAGAAAATTGCTAAGAAGCCTCCAACTGCTGCCAAGGAGATGAGAAGGGAGATTACAATTGCATTCACAGTTGCTGCAACAAAGAAAAGCGTAAACACCAGCATTCCTGTCAAACCTAGAAGAGTCGCTATCCCCACCTGCACAAGTTTCCATAACCAACTAAATCAAAATTTGTTACATCAGCAATTCACCAACCCATACAAATTACAAACCACTAAACAAAACCAATAATAAGGTTGATTCTTCAAAACGATGTTCCTAGTATAGTTACTATAAGGACACAAGAAAACCATCAGGAAAACACTATGAATTTCCCAGGCAAAAGCAAAAAGAGAAAATAACACCAACTAAAGCTACTTATATCACTTACATAAATTTGGACATCCTCTCTAAATGTGCAAGCCATTCATAAATTTGGACATCCTCTTTAAATGTGCAAGCCAATCTTGGTCCAAAGAAATAAAAGGAAAAATTAAAACCTAAGATCTATGTCTTACAAAAGCTACTTTGCCCACTCTCACCTATCACTTGCTCCCGTCTTCTAGTTATTTGTTTTGGAAGTCGATGTCTTCAAGGAAGCAGCCTCTGTACCCCTTGGGGTAGAGAAAAGGTCTGCATAAATCCTGCCCCCATCTAGGAATATGATGCGTGTATGATATTCATATATGTCTATACACACATTTATATATCTATGCACACATGTATACCATTGTGTCTACATATCTATATCTATCTATCCACCTACATATATATATATATATATGTGTGTGTGTGTGTGTGTGTGTGTGTCCATACATATATGTATGCATCTACACACATGTGCACATATACATACATGTATACGTCTACGCATACATGCATACACGTATATATGCATGTGCGACATGTGCGTATGGTACATGTGTGTGTATAAAAATAGTTTATATGTCGATACATACACTAAATACAAGTACACGTATACAGATGCATATATATATATATATGAACATGCATAAGTACATGTATACACAAAATATATGTATGTATAAGTATATATAAATATTTCTCTTTTGATTGCATTCTCTAGCATATTAGTATGAACTTTGAACCATTTCTCTTTCTTCTCATTTGTACTAGTTCAGACAATTCATTTTGCACCAACTACCTTGTAATCTTCTCATTGACACACTGTCCTGGTCACTATGTGGATACAGAGGAAGGGAGGGAGGGAGAAAGAAACACATAGATATATGTGTGTGCATATATAGATACATATACACACATGTATACGTATATTTTTGGTGGATTCCTTTCTCTAACATAGTAGTATAGACTATGAACTTGTTTCTCTTTCATGATTAGTGCTATGATATGGACCCAAGCGAGGAGGACCGAAACTTGAAGTTCCTGGAAGTCCATGGCCGGGCCAATTGAGGGTGTCGTTAGTATAAGAATCGTAAATGTGTAGTGGAGAGAGAGAGAGAGGCAGAGAGTGAACTGTAAGTAGTCGCTAATATAAGAATCGTAAATGTGTAGTGGAGAGAGAGAGAGAGACAGAGGCAGAGAGAGACCTGTAAGTATTAAACTCATATCCAGTTTAACGATAACAAATAGAACGAAGGGTAAGTAAAAGATACTTTGTAATTCTACACATTCAACTCGTGTCTGATTGTGGGTGAAGATGAATATTTATGTGAACTGTAAATGTGTTTATTTGACAACAACTATCTAGATGAAAAGCTAGAACTTGTTATGAATAAAGGAGGAGATCTATTTGTGGGTTTGACCGAAGAAGAGCGTATATGTTTGTGTCATTTAGTATATTGGAAGAACCTCTTTCTCACAAGTCGGACGTCTTTGCAGAAATTACCGCTCTACTCTTCGTAGTGGAAGTTATGTCTATGTACATCTCACCTCCCCCAGACCCTTCATTCGGGTCGGACAAAGTGGACATGTTTGGTTTGGTTTTGGTTCATTTAAGGAAATGGAGACCAATAAAAGATCTATTCATGCATATAAAAAACAAGTTTGATTCACGAAGAGAACATCCATGAGGTTGGCTTCATTTTAAGAATTTGAAAATAAAGAAAAAGTGAAACGGTTTAATTAATGAAAGGTATACGTGCATATGTGATACAAAAAAAATGAATAACAAAGAAAAGAGTGCTCATTTTAAGAAAAGAGTTTGATTTAGATGTGTCTGTAGGGAGAAAGGGGAGAGAGGGTGATGTAGAGAGAAAGCGATGGTTATCGTTGTTGATAGAGAGAAGTGGAAATATATAATTGATAGATAGATGGTGTTTAGTCAAATGTACATGCAGGCTACTCATTCCTACATAAGAAATTTTGCTTTGTGGAAAGAAAGCTCACATATTACATTTTTTTTCACTTTTATTTGTTTGTAAACAATGGTACTTGGATCAATCCAAGGCTCCCAATTCAATATAGAAATTTGTAAGCGGACATAGCGTGTTTTAGAAGATGTCATGTAAAAGATCGACCGCCTTATATGCAACGGATAGGAAAGGACTTCCTCAAACGTAATAAATGGAGGGTCTCCCATGTATAAACATTGGACATGTGCTTATTTTATATGCATGAATGCATATAGAAACTGTTTGGAATTACAAACAACCATGTATCACAACAAGGACCTTGTAATGCATCACAAGTTTTTGTTTTTAGCAATTATACTTTGTAGGATTATAATCAATACATTCAAACCTTTTAAGACTTTTATCCGTAGTGTTGTTAACTCTTAAGAGAAAATTGTTAATATGAAGAATCAGTAACCTAGTTACAAAAAGTTAATTATGTGATCAGGAGACATAGATTGGTATGGATATACAAATGGAAGGAAACAGAGAGAAGAGAAAAAGGTAAGGTTTCAGTAAATTGATCAATATGGCAGTTCCTTGCTAGGTATAATATGCATGCTTGCATGTAGGATAGTGATATATATTTACTTTGCATATGTGTGCATGGTACTTAATTAATATAGAAACATATATATGTAAGTCAACTTGCTATATTCAAAAAAATTTATTGAAATTTGAAATCAGTTTCTAAACCTACAGACCTCCTCTACCACTGCTTCCTTGAGAAATACTATCATATACGCTCGAAACTTGCAAACAAACTCAAAGGCGTCCCTAAACAGTTATGCCTCAATAGTTGTTGAAGGGTTGTAGCATTTTACTTACAACAGCAAGGTGTGTTTCAAAACAAAATTACTCCTACAATACTTGTGCTAATGCCAATTTGATGTTCTACTGAAGTTTTATTTGTGACGTCACTCATCCATGAAGCCTTTGCGTTTTCTATATGTGCATCAGACTATTTGACGGAATAGCCAACCATCCATTGGGTCACCTCAATGACAGTCAGAAGGAAGACTTTCATAGCCAAGGGTGACAAGATAATGTTGCTAGGAACTATGTCACCTTCTCTCACGTCTGTAATTGACAATTAAAGATGTCCTCTCTATCATCATGTAAATTAGGAAAACTCGAATTCAGGGCCTAATTCATATCTGACTTGCTTCCCTGCCCTCAACAACACAAACATTGATTGCCTACCAAAGTAAGAACAGCAGAAGACTGAAGGTCCATTAGCATTCCATTCAGTGGGCAAGAAGGGCATTTTCAGTGACGGGTGATCATGGAGATATGCCAAATTATACCCTGTCTGTCTCAACCTAAACACTGTGGGATCTTCTTGTCTCATTGGTGCCTTTAGAGGGTGAGATATGCCAAGTACTACGTTCACCATCATTTTCTAAAATCTACCTACAGATCAAATCGATAGCTTCTCTCTGAGAAACCTCAAGGATGTAGATATCTAGGCATTTACACCAATGATATTTCAGAGGAGACAACAGAAAAGGTATATGAATAAATAACTAATGATATGTGATCAATAAGCACTCCATGCTACACAAATGAAGCGAGCTTAATAGGTTATCTAGCTACTACATTGGTTTACTGAACCACCAATTAATTTGTTTTCTTCTTTGGTTTACTTCAACTATCCATCAAATCCTTAATTCTTAAAACATCTCCATACTGAAGCTCTGCATAATAAATATTTGGTTTTAACAAAGCGTAAACATGATCTCGACCTCAAAGAGAATGTAGAGACCACTCATCAAGTCTGATAAGTGAAATACTAACATATTCCACTAATTAGAGAACATAATATAAATTATTTACAATTTTCAGTGATCGTCCTCCCTTAATTGTCAACAAACTACCACAGATGGAACATTTTCTGGTAATAACAGTGTATTCTTCCTCAGTGGTCTATGCGTAGACAAGTGCTAATATTGAAGATCGAGATGGCGGCTGTGGCACCAACATCATTCCACCACTACACAATTTTGTTTTAAAACTATCATCCTACACTTGCTATTCCTCCATGTTTACCTTTCAATCAAACAATTATCACCGTCAATACTCAAAACCGAAATATGGAAGACACTGATCCTGTAGGTGACCATTAATCATGAAAATACAACATCCAAATCCAAAATTACATCTGCAATGAGAACAAGCATGTGGGATGGTAAACAGGTTGCTGTAAGCAACTATATCAAGTACTAAGTCACATTAAAAACTCTAATTAGGGGAACTCTCAGAGTTATGGATTTCAGAATTAATAATCTAAATGAATCAATAATCAAGAAATCCAAGAGGCGCACGTCAGATGCTACCCCCGTTCAGTTCAACCTGATTGACCTCACTGCCTTATTAGCATCAAAAACCTTGGTTTAGAAAACCCAAGTCAAAACATTATCAACCATATTAAGGAAGAAGCTTGACGTCATCTTTCATTTCAAAATCTACGTAGATCATTAATGGAGATATAAAACGAATATCAATTGAAGAAACCAGGAAGCAAAAGATTTCGGATGTAAACAGAAAGGAAAGCTAATTGAAACTAGAAAATCCAAAACTAATTGAAACTAAAAGCTAATAAATGCCACAAGAAAAAGAAATGGAATACTCACAGAAACAACCAAGAGAGCGCGGAGAGGACTACCGCGACGAGTCCATAGAAGAACCTCGCGGCGCGTGTTCATTATAGCTTCGCGAAACATAGGAGCCGCCTCCATCAATGATTTCTTGATCCGGATCATCCGATTAGCCATGGGAGGACGAGCAGCAGTTGAATTTTCATCAGGATTGGGATCGGAAATGGATTCGATGAGGTGATTAACAACGCCGGAAAGAGTTACCTCTTCTCCTAGGCCTACCCCACCTTCGAATGATAACAATCTAGCCTTAGAGTTATCTTTTTTTTCATCCTCAACAACCGACGGAGGAGACACGCCGCCGTTGGGTTTTTCCGTTGAACCACCGTTCATCACTGCCATTTTTTTTTACCTATTTTTCGTGTGTTAGAATTTTGCCTGTATTTTTTAAACGTTGGTGGGGTTGAAGAAAGGTGTTATAACCGTTGGATTTGCTGACTAATTGAGATGTCATTAATCTAACGGTTTAAGGTTGTCAATGTTAAATAAGCAGTTGCCGACAAACGGCACGTCGGCAAAGATCTAAGTATTTTTGGTTCATGACCTTTTTGTGACAAATTATTATTTCTTAATAAATTGTATCAACATGATTTAAATGTGATAACTTGAATACATTTACATTAAAAAAACGTGATTAATAGAAAAATCATATTTAAAGATGTATGTGGATAATTTCTTAGGGGTGTTTGGTATTGTTTATAAAAATAACTTATTGACAAGGCCGGCCCTGGCCACGTGCAGCCCGTGCGGCCGTACAGGACATCAAAGCCAAAAGGGCATCAAGTTGTCATTTATTACTAGTTTTAGGTTTAATAATTTGGGAATTGGACAACTGAGTTTTAACTATAAAAACAAGGGCAAGGTCTAGTAGTGATGAATACTGAATGCACATCGTTGGAAAAAGTTGGAAAGTTGGAAAAAATTTTGTTTGTATAAAGTTGTCTGTATGAATTAATATGTTTGTATAAGTTGGAAAAGTTTTTGTTTATGAGAGTTTTTTCCGTATATGTAAGGAGCATTTTTTTTAGTTGGAAATGACATGTTTGGAAAAAAAAACTTGGCTTTCTATATAAAGCTCCACCTAAAAGTTTACTGGATAAGTCACTTTCTATATCATTAAGTCACTATGAAACAATCATGCATAGTTGACTGAATAAGTTGTTAGTTCCAGTTCCATTAAACTTATTAAGTTGCTAACAAATAATTTCTTAGTCTTTAGTCGTTAGATCTGTAACTTTTGAATTTTTACTTTTTGCTCACTATGACAGTAATTTGGATGTAATTTACTGTTTTAGTTAAGAACTAATCATAGTGTTCCTTGTCTTTTAGGTCCCATATATTAAAATAAAGTTTCTATTTTGCTAATTTCAATTTGAAAAAGGGAAAACTGAAAAAGAAAGAAACACGATCTTAATCCATTATTTATCATTTTATCGTTTTATATTTTTGTATTCAAGGTTTTGGATTCTATGTCCCCCCTTGAATTTTTTTTATTATAATTAATAAAAATCAACATAGGGATGAGATATTTAGCTTGAATAAGTTCAAAACTTTTTAAAAAAAATCGCATGTTTCGTTGTTTCGTTGTTTCGTTGTTTCATTGACTTAAAAAATAGACTTAGGGGTATTTTTTATTATTTTCGCACAGGGCATCAGAAATCTTAGGACCGGCCCTGCTTATTGACTTATTCCGGTGTGACACCGGTATTAAGCACTTTTGGGTGTTTGGATAAACAACATATACCGGTGCCAAACCGGTAATAATGAGTTTTTAAAGAAGTTAAACTTTTCTGACTTATAACAAATAAATAAGTGTTTTTGTAGAAAAGAATAAGTTGTTTCAAATAAGCAATCCCAAACACCCCCTTAATTGGTTATAATTATATGAGATAGAAGTTGAGCATTTAGCATTGCAAAGGTGATTGTAAGCCGATAAAATATAATAATTCTAGACTTCTAGTTCAGGGTTCGCATTTGTTTGGCTGACAAACTTATATTCTCTCGTACGAAAACTTACCTTTGTTATAATTGCAAAATCTTTCATCTTTGTGTGGTTAATGCTTTGCAGAAAGCAGAAAATCTACTAGTTATGACAACAATACATGAAACTACAACTTAAAGTTTCAAGCGATACCCAACTGTTACGACAAAATGCTCAATCATGACTGCATTCACATTTCCGTAATCTATCTGAAACAATCAAAGATTTGTAGACGTTGTGGTCTAACGACCATGAAGAAACTACCATATAAAGCTTCAACAACATGCCTAAAAACCTGTGCATGCCATAAGTTGAAACTATAAATATTTATCAAATCATTATCACCTTTTAAAATTCATTCAACACAAACAAGAGTTACCTTTATGGTTATTTTATATTTTTTAAGGGTTGGCTGCATGTGGGGAGGGAGGTGTCTGTTCATGCACCGTCCCCATCGAGTATGCTTCACTGTACTTACTACTTATAGTAATGTTAGAACCCTGTTTGTAAAAGTATAAGTAAGAAGTCTCTTACTCTAGTCAAATAGGACTTTGTCTTAGAAGCAGTTTGGACCAAGAGCTCGGATAATGCTTTCTCATCGAAGAGAATTTCATCAGAGCTTAACACCATGATTATCGAAACCATTTTATTTCTGTAATAGAGGAATCAGAATTCTTTCTCATTTAATTAGAAATCTACAAGGAAGAATTTAAATACTCTAAATCTCTAAAAAGAATAGGAAAAAAAATATAAAGGTAATGTACAATTGTATACAAATATATCTCCTAAACCTACGGTTTCCGAAAACACACAAGCCCGTTGTCTCTGAAAATTAGCTAATTCTGACTGAGTATCAAGCCTGTCTTTATCACAAAAAAAGAGGCATTGCTTAGCATGAAGTTAGTGAACTCTAAGTAGACCTTAGATCTCTTCTATAGTTACAACTTTTATCCAAGTTCAATCGTAAACCAATCACCTTGAAGGAGTCTTAGTTTTTATGCAAATCACAATTAATATGGGTGGACTGAATTCGTTATTGTGGTCTTGGTGCTGAGGAGTTATTAGAAAAAGAATTGTAGGGGACTGGCAGCAAACATTGTACAGTAGGAAAGAGATGACACATTTTACCTACATAATAAACACCCTTCATTCTTAACTCTAGAAAATATGGTGAAGATTCAAACAAGCTAGAAAGAAACATGAGAATACGCCAAGTTGATAGCAAACAATTTTGTACATGGAAAGGAAAAACAATGTACCGAATTCAATCTATATAGCATGCAAGAAAATTGGCATACAACAACATCAACTCTATTACTAACTAACATGAATGATTGTAAAAAGTAAAAATGCTGAAGACTCTAATGATAATTGAAATGAATATGCAGTAAAATCCCTCTAGCATAATAATTAAAGAGGGAAAGTTTTGTCTTTAAATTTTTCTACTAACGATGCATTTGATTTCTTATGCATTATTTTAATATGGAACAGCGATGTGTGTTGCAGCTATGTTAGAATTTTAGGCCTTCATATAAACCAGAACCATTGTCATTGTTGAAGCAGTGACTCATGTTTACTCCCATACATAGTCTGATCTTGAATTTTAAAACATACAATTCTTCATGCTAACCCAACAAAAGACAAGGGTATTACTTCTGGTTTTGGTATATTGCTCAAGGAGCGGTGCGGTGCGGTGCAAGAAAGGATTTTTAGGGGTTGGGTTCCAACCTTCCCTGGTAAAAGTCCACAGTGTGCTTGCAAGTTTAGGTGTTATGAGTTCTTCATGAAAACTTATTTTGATATGGTTAGTCCTTAGAAAATAATGGGAACTTACCTGTAGAATTTGGGAAAAGACAGGCCAAAATATCTCTTTCAAAAGTCTGTTGGATTAAACTTTTTTGTGCATTTGGCCACCTGCTTGCATAGGAGAGCCGGAATGTAAAACAATTTGTTCCGAAAGTTAAACTTGAAGATGTTGCTCCTCTACTCTTGCATCATTTGCTTATCAGAAACAAGCTTCGATTGGCTAGGTGACTCTAAAAGTCTGTCTAACTCTGTAATACCTAAAAAGTTGAAAAGAGAAACTACACCTCCTGTACAAACATGCTTAATGTTTATCCAAAATAATGAAAATATGATTCATACTATAGTACAAACATGCTTAATGCTTAATCTCCATTTCTAGAGAGCAAGACGTGGATAAATTTTAGGAAGAGTGGGGAGTGGAAAAACTGAACGGATCATGGACGTGGGGTGGACAATCCTTGCAATATCAGGTTTAATTTGAAGGTATTGATGAGACAATTATAATGGTGTAATTTGTAAAAAGCGAAAATGACCTCATAAAGGTTTACCGGATAACTAAATTTTTTGACATTAGCGTTTACAATTTCACTCTTAATTTGGATTTGGGGACTTGAGAATTTGAAACTAAATTTGAGATGGGGTTCAATATTCATGCTGCTTTGAAGG